TTGCATTCCAATGCACAAACCAGAGCTGATACTCCCCTTCTAAGACTACACTTTGAGAGCCACTGTCTACTGAGTGGAGGGAGAGATCTGACAACACTAAGAATTCAATCAGGTCCTCTATGCCTCCATTGTCTAAACTCATCTTGAGAGCACACAAGTTAGTAAGAGCAACCTAACCTGAAGAAGTAAAACACATAGCTGAAGCCTATAAAGGCATTTTCAAATTCTGCTTCTGGCTGTGTGCAGGAAATCCATCAATCCCAACTGGGCTGATATTTCAGAACACCTACAAGTTCTAAGCCAGTTTCTTTTGTGGACACACAAGGTCTTTGCATAATTTCATGACATAATGGATCCCTGTCTTCATTACTGAGAGCTTGTGTGCCACACACTATGCTAATTATATTGTATGCATGTGTCGTTCAGTTCTCCCACCAACATAGAGAGCCAGGAATTACACCCTGTATTACGAGGGAGTCAAAGCATGCCTTGAAAAGTGAAATGACGCATCCAAATGACAAATCACAGAAACCAGGGTTACAGCCCAGAGTTCACCCTAAAACCCGAACTCTCCATGACTAAACTACATGACTAGGCATGCTCTCTTTTCCAGGAAAAACACATATTGGAGAGATCAGTAACTGTAGTCTATATACGTATCTTTTTCTCCATACCTTCCCAAGGTAAACATTTGCAGATAATTGAGCCATTTCTTATGAAGTCTGACTTTTCCAGTCCCTCTGCTGTACTTTTCAAGGTAACCATAAGGCTGTCATTGCCCTGAGAACTGAATAGGTGGATGTGACTATCAGGAAACAATTTTATTTCATTCTCAAGATTTTATTTATTTGAGAGGCATAGAGAGGGAGAGAGAACATTCCCATCTACTGTTCAAAACCCATATGCCCACAACAGCTGGGAATGGGCCTGGCCAAAGGCAGTAGCTTGGAACTCTACCCAGGTCTCTCACGTGGGTGGCAGTAACGCAGTAACTTCAGCCATCGCCTGCTGCTTCCCTGAGTCTGCGTGGGCAGGAAGGAAGAATTACGAGCTGAAGTTGGGAATCAAACCCATGCACTCCAATGTGGGACAGGGACATCCTAACAGGCTAAATTTCAGTCACAGAAAATAATTTTAAAAGTTGTTCTGAACCCTTGAGGGAAGCTGTTATATAGCCAAGAGGCATTTTCCTCTTAGGCTCCTGCTGTTTATTCTTACTCAATTAAAATAACTATATTTTTAACAAAACATTTGCTTAAGTTTCCTATTAGATTCATTTATTTTTCATTCCATTCTTTATATTGCCTCATTCTCTTGCTTTTAGACAGGAAGGAAATGAAAACTTACAGAGAAGATAGACTTGAATAGGGTCACTCACATCCTAAGTGCATGCATAGGTTTGGTAAGGATTCAAACTCAGCTATTTTTGATGCTACCTTTAAATATGCATCTAGCTTCAAATCTCCCAAGAGGCTGTGCAGTCTGACAACTCAGAAAGACAAACTTCTCATTAAGCTGAAAATGAAATTGCTTAAACTTCTCATTCCACACCATATGTTCAAATCCCAGCTGATAGGAAGCTCATTTCTGCAGCACACTGGGCTCATTTCACTGAGTAGGTTGATGCAAGATTTGTAGGGTGGTCATCTCCAAATATTTTAGCATTTGTAGCAGCAGTGCTATTCATTTTCATGCTTCTTTCCCACATTTCCCACATGATAGAGAGAAGGAGAGATTTTATGCTGCATCATTCTCTAGATGAAAAATTACAAACAAAATTATACACCTGCTTTGTAGTAACCAAAATTGAAATCATCTTTGAGCCTTTAGTCTAAGTCACTATGACCATGGGATGGGGTGAAGTTGGTGAAGTCCTTAAATAATACCATTACAAAGTTGAGTGCAATAAGATTATGTCAAAGCATTCAGATATTTAAAGTTAACGTGGATCTTTGTTAAGAGTTTATAGCAGTAAAGTGACTCATGGAGCACGAAGGAACTGATGGGGTCTGCCAAGCCCCCTTGTACACTGGGGTGAGACTCCATAACTGTTTTGCCTGGGCATTGATTTTAGAGCTGGAAATGCAAAATAGTCTTGAACAATATGGAAGCTTGAAGTTTCTGTGAGTTTTTCCCCCCAACTTTGAAATCATGTAGAAGGTACCATTCCTACAAAGAGAGAAAAACCTAAATCGTGAGTCAGAAAAAGTCTCAGAACTAATGCATTGTCATGCAGTGAAGCTGGTTTGGACTCTACAAGGCAATGGGCAGGGACAGAAACCTTAGTCCACCATCTGCTGGTGTCCCAGCTGGCCAAGTCCCTTCATCATTGTTTTCTCACGTGAATTTGGGACTGATCATAGGGGGCAGGAAAGAAAGGATAGTGTGTGAAAATGAAGCCAGCCACACTCAAAATACCTGGCTGGGACTCCTGGCTCTGAGCCTTTACTGTGGTTCAGCCTTCCCTGTGACCCCCTTCAGTTCTGTCATCTGTAAAAGGGGGGAAGGATAAATATGGTGCCTACCGCCAAAGCTGTTTGTGGGATGTCAACATAATAATGCAGCATCTGGATCACCACATAGTCATGGTCAATAGACTTTGATTTTTGTTTAAAAAAATTATCTATATAAGGAGTTTCAAAGATAAGTTCTAACTGATCCTCCAAAGACACAGGGGGGAAGCATGAAAGTATACAGCCAAGACCCCAATATCTGACCTCTCCCCTTCTTAATCCTCATCCTCAACCCAACCAATACTGATCTTTTATCTATTGTTTTCATCAGAGCTAAGTAAAAATTCTATTTTTAAAAGTTGCTGACAGAGCCAGCATTGTGGTTCAGTGGGTTAAGCTTCCACCTGTGATGCTGGCATTCCATATGGGTGCCACTTTGAGTCCTGGCTACCCTACTTCCAATCCAGCTCCCTGCTAATGGCCAGGGAAAAGCAGCAGAAGGCGACCCAAGTGTTTGGGCCCTTACTACCCCATGGGAGATCTGGAAGAGGCTTCTGGCTTCAGCCTGGCCCAGGCCTAGCTGTTGTAGCCATTTGGGGACTGAACCAGTGAATGAAAGGTATCTCTGTCTGTCTGTCTGTCTGTCTCTCTCTCTCAGTCTCTTTCTCCCTTACTCTCTCCATTAGCCTGCTTTACCAATAAATATTTAACTTTTTAAAAAAAGGTTTTTCCCACTGGGAAACTTTGCTCCAAATCTTTTTCCCTAGATAACTCTCATTTACAGATAAGAAAAAGCAAGGTGCTAAAGACAAAGATCACACAAAGCTAAGCCACTGCCCTGGGATTAGACTTTCCTTCAGTTCACCACCTTTGCACTGTGAACCCTCACCTCCATTCAGCCACCTAAGGATGATCACATGATCACTTCCATTTTCTGACTGTGCTTACTCAACAAAATTCAGGATAATGCTGGCTGAAGTTTTCAGACTGAAGAGAGCATAATTAAGCCAGTAAGGGTGACAGGGAAGTCAACATCCACAAAAGGGTAGGTGGGATGGAGGATGGGATGATGAGATATTTGTCTCTCTGTGTGTGGATATTTGCCCAAGAACTCAAGACCCATGATGTGGGGAGGGTGGTAGAATATCCAGATGAAGTGGATGACCTGCAACTCAGAGAAGATAACAGCTATGGAACAGAGGTCAAAGAACCACACAGCAAGGAAACATGAATGTTTATTACACAGGAGAGAGGGAGAGTGATCAGAAAAGCTGCTTGACTGGGGGTGGAGTGACAATGAGAAGCAGCACAGAAATAAAGGAGGTAACAGAAGAGAAAGAAGACACAGAGTGCCAATAATAATGTGGAGAACAAAATGAAAAGCAGCATTACTACGTGTATGAACAGTAGTGATATATAAGTAGTAACAGCAGAAGCAGCTATCAGTGACTGAATAGCAGTTTACTCTAGACACTGTGGTAAGTTCATACTACATGGTCTCATCTTTCCCTAGGGACCACTTGAGATGATAGATGTGGAGCAGAAAAGGAAACCAGCATAGTGAAGACAGTAACTTGTTCAGTCATACAATCAGTTGATGACATCAGGGGTTAAAAGCCAGGTCAAGTCCAGCACTAGGATTCTTAAATCTTCATGTGAGATGTCAGCGTACAGCCATAGAAGACTCACTTGTGGTGTGCTCGAAATCAATGATCCCAATAGTGGGAACATAGAAATATCTACAAATATTTTTAATAATGAGTACTTATGTCCTTCTACTAAAGTTTCTAATTAATTATTTAATTAGAATTGGTTTCATATATGAGCCTAACTCACTGAAATCTTCTAGATAATTCTTAACTTGAAACCAGGTTCAGCAGTCACTGTATCACATATATAAATGTTGAATGATACAAGCAAGAATGCCTGTTTGTGATGATCAGATATCACCTTACACATGAACACACATCCCCACTCAAAACTCAGAGCTGGAGGATACACTGAAAAGACTTCATGGCTTAAGAAAGGGGGACTGGACTCCAGGGAAGTTCAATAGTTTTACTGTTAAAGAATCCAGAACCATGGCTTATTTCATTCTTCTACATACCATTTGTACTGGTCTGAACGGATCTAAGTACCATAGACTGAGGGGCTTATCAATAGAAGAAATTCATTTCTCATAGTTCTGGAGGTTTGAAGACTGAGATCAGGGTCCTAGAATACCTGGGTTGTGGTGAGGGCCCTCCTCTGGGCTGTACACTGCCAACTCATTGTATCTTTACAAGATGGAAAGAGTACCCTGGATCCTTCATTCTCTTATAATGCCACAACTCCGTTTAGGAGATCAATATCCTTATGATGCAATTACCACCCAAAAGTCCCAGCTCATAATAATGTCACTTAAAAGGGTTGGGGTTTCCACATATGGATTTTTTTTCTGGTGGGGTGGGGCTGGGATGCAAATATTTAATCCATAGTACCACTTGACTTTTCCTTTGAAATATACATAATAGCATCCAACTAATGAAGTAAGTCAAGTTTCCTTACCTAAAACTCTTAATCTCTCAGCTCCAACTACCACTTCGTTGTCATCTGCAGAGAAGAGCAATTTTCCAGAAACAGTTTTTACTTCGAACTTTTTGCCATAAGCTTCTACAGCTTTTGGACCTAGAATGGGTGTTGATAAGGGAGAGAAAGAGGTGAGGAGAAAAGAGAGAGGAAGATAATACATTAGTCATGTTGCATTTGACTACAGGAAGCTTTCATAGAACTTACACATTTGACAAAATTGTATCAGACCTTAATGTTAAGTGGATTGGTTTTCAGAAACTGACATGAAAATCTGTGTCTCTACTCCAGCCATGTCTTGTCAATTACTTTTAATCATAAACTCTCAAGCAATGATTGTCAAGACCATCCAAACTAATTCTTGAGTGATATTTCCTTCCTCTAGCACAAAATCTCTGTCAAATAGCTATAGATTTTGGCTTGAACGGTTCAAAGTCTAAGAGGCTCATCAGCTCTTGAGGCAACTGCATCTATTTGGCAAGCCCTGTCACGAAGGGTTTGTTAAAATACAGCTGAAGTCTCTCTCTTTGTACTTTCGACATTCTGGCTGCATTTGACACCAAGACAAGTTTACTTTGTCAGTATATACATCACTTCCGGGTAGACTGGCTATAATATTATAATTAATTGCCTTGGAAATTGCTGAATATTTTATTCTAGACATTCATTCAATAACAATAAATGTACATGGTTTATGACAACAATGCTGTTCTTGAAAGCGAGCCTACTACAGTGTGCATCAGGAAGGCAAGGCCCTGATCTCACAGAACCTATCTTCTGATGGAAATGGACCAATGTAAATTTAACAACTAATTAATAAATAAGAAAAATACAGACAGTTTGGGGTGAGCAGTGTGGTACAGTGGGGTAAGCCGTCACTTGGAACACCTGCATTGTATATTAGAGTACTAGTTCTAGTCCTGGCTACTCTACTTTTGATCTAGCTTCCTTCTATGTGTCTTGGAAGGCATCAAGTGATGGCTCAAGTGCTAAGGGCTCTGACACCCATATGGGAGACTGGATGAAATTCTTGGCTTTGGCTTTGACCTGGACCAGCCTTGGTTTCTATGAGATAGAATAGGCAGTAATAATACAATTTTAGATAAAGAAACTGAAGCTCAGAAGAACCAAATAATTTACCCAAAATAACATTATTAGGAACTTAAAGAGGGAGTTAGAACATAATTTACTCTTTTGATTCCCAGTCAGGTAGTCTTGATACATAAAGCCACACTCTCCCAGACATCCAGGGGCATGGTCAGCTAGATCATAGTGATCTCCTGCTTGAATATTAATAATTTCGCAAGACATCAATACTAGACAAGGCAATTCAGTGGGCATAATGAGCCCATCAAAAGCAAAACACATACAAAAAGAAAAACAACTGTGACCACGTCCAAACTGCACAAAAGATGAAAAATATCCTTATCTTGGTTCATAGGAGTGCTATTTCTTTATCCATGACAGTTTTACATTCTTCTTGTCTTTCTTATTTTTGGAGATTAACCCAATCAAAAACTTGCTCTGTCTTCCTGACAGTATCTAATCCAAAACGAAGCCTTGCTTCCTTAAAACTTCCTAAAAGTGACCTGAAGTCAGTGACCTAATTGAGATAAAATCCTGTAATAAGTTGTTCCTAAGAGCTTCTTACTGAGATGCCCCATGGTTGCCTATGGTATACATTCTCCCTCACTGCAAGGAGTAATAAACCCAACTTGTCCCACTAAGATGTACTGCTAGTGGTCTTTAGAGAGAAGCCATTGAGGACCCTTCCATTGCTACTTATTATTAATTAGCACTTTTGAAAAATACCTATAGGAAACCAAAGTGCCACATTTGGATATCCTGGATATTTTTGGAAAAATACAAGATTTATTGGTTCTACCTTTAAAAAATTTTTTGTAGGAGTTTTGGCAACAAAAGATAAATTTCTTTTTACTTAACCTAGGTTCTATGCGGAGGACTGTACTCCTGTGTTCTTCTGATGAGTTTCTGCCTAACAGTTTTTTCTCCCAAAAAGAAAGCTTTTTTTTTTTACAGGCAGAGTTAGATAGTGAGAGAGAGAGAGACAGAAAGAAAGGTATTCCTTCCGTTGGTTCACCCCCTAAATGGACGCGATGGCCGGCGTGCTGCGCCGATCCGAAGCCAGGAGCCAGGTGCTTCCTCCTGGTCTCCCATGAGGGTGCAGGTCCCAAGGACTTGGGCCATCCTCCACTGTACTCCTGGGCCACAGCAGAGATCTGGAATGGAAGAGGAGCAACTGGGACAGAACCAGTGCCCCAACTGGGACTAGAACCTGGGGTGCCAGCGCCGCAGGCGGAGGATTAGCCTAGTGAGCCATGGCGCCAGCCAAGAAAGCTTTTTTTTTTTTTAATGAGTACAAATTTCTTAAGAGCAATTTTAGGAATATAGTGATTCTTCCCACCATACCTGCCCTCCCACCTGAACTTCCACCCCACCACTCCCTCCCTTTCTCCCATTCCCAGTCCCATTCTCCATAAAGATTCATTTTCAATTAATTTTATACACAGAAGACCAATTCTATACTGTTAAGATTTCAACAATTTGTACACACACACAACTGTTTGAGAACAGGTTTTATATTTAATTCTCATAACATAACTCATTGAGGAAAAAAGTCCTGTATGGGAAGTAAGTGCATAGTGTGTCTAACAGCTTTTTGAGCTACCTCAAATTTAGATATTAAGGTAGATTCAGCTCAGATAGATTGAAATGTCTCTCCCTTTTTAGAATTTAACACAAACATTATTTTCCATTTTCCATCATACCTGAAACACTCACAATTTTTAAAAAAGTTTACATATTTTTCATCTACTACAAAGGTAGAGCAAGAGAGGGAGGAGAAAGGGAGAACACATACACACACACACACACACACAAAATACTATCTTCTATCCACTGGTTCACTCCCTAAATGCCTGAAGGGATCCGGTGAAACTTTATTGATGGAAAGAACTCTGTAGGTGGAAAACTGCCTTGAAACACAGAGGACTGCTTTTGTGGTTAGTGTCATCCTTGTCATCACCAGCATTGTTTTTTCTACTGCAGCTGTTGCCCCCATTGTAAAGCAATGCTGATGTGTGCCTCTTACTGAGCTTTTCCTATTCAGGAAGTCACCTCAATTTGGCAGACCTCATCTTTCGAAAGCCAGTACAGCCACACTAGCCCACACTAGCCCTCTACTGCTCAAAAGGACATGAGAAAGTTTCCTTAATGAGCACAAGACTGAAACAGCAGAGACAATATGGAATTTCCAAGCAATGTGGGAACTGGACAGTATCTCTGACTACCTTCATGCTCTAGGTGAGGAGAGAAAGTGGGTCTGTAACTGAGCTCTCAGAATTGGCTCACAAAAAATGGAGATTTATTTGCCTAGGAACAAAAGGGACTGGAGCTCAAGTATATGGAGCAATTAGGATATGAGCTTTTTGAGGATGGACCAAAGAAAAAACTGGACACAAGGACCGGTGGGAACTCTTGAAAGAACAGAGATAGGTGGTGAGTGATTTGGTTTAGGTTTTTCTTTAAGAACTATGGTGTAGCTGTTTTCTTAACTGCATAAAAACCCTCAGTGAAGCCTATAATACTTGCCAATACTTTAATATTATCATTTTGGGAGGGAGGGAATTGGGGATGTGCATATAATGAAGCATGAATGCATACATGAGTGACCTCAGGATACACATAGAGTGAGCACAGTTTGCCCTTTCTGGATTGAGCCATATGGTATAGTGGGGGTACTCTTGGAAGACTGGACCCAGTGCTTAGACTCTGCCTCTGTAGTCCTGGGAAAAATCATGAAATTTGGCTCCTGCGCAGTCAAGGGCACCTTCCTGTCCCCTGAGTTTACTTGGAACTCATGAGTGGTTTCTGACACATAGAAGAGAATGTACTGAAGAGACTACAGCAATCAGAGAACACAAAGCCCAATTAAGTTATCTTGCCTTTCAGGGCTTCATAGAACACAAATGGAATTTACTAAGAGCCAGAACCATTTGGCTATCTAAAGCTCACTAATTGGTCATTTTAGCCAAAACTCCACCGAGCAACTGCTGGCTCGATGGTGCGCACGGCTTGTCCTTTGTCCATTTCATCTGGGGCTGCCAAACTTCCCTGGACAACGCTGGAATTGTTTAAGAAAAAAATGACTCTGGAGAGAAATGCAAATAGAGCTGGAGACTGCACAGGAAGCCCCTTGGTGAACTAATCGTTCTTCTATAGGAAGGAAAAAAAAATCACTATTCATCATGTGAAACTAATCTTCAGTTAATCCCCCTCTGTATGTGATAGGCTGTGTGTGAAGCACCTCTTTAATGAATCTTCTGAACAGAACTGCAGCCCATCAGGATTCATCAGCAGTCTCCATGTCATGCCACGGTCATGACGTGGGGTGCTGGAGAGGCCCGGGAGCCATTTAGGATAATTTCTTTTCCCAGCTCCTCTGATACTGGGACTCTTTCCCACATCCATGTGATGCTGTCATAGGCATCCCTACTGCTTTCTTCCTTCTAAGTCGGAGGGTTCCCTGTTTGCACCCACTACTGAGATACTAAAAAAGTAGCCCTATGGGTCAAATACACATTTGTGAACACAGGGACTTAACTACCATTTAAAATATTGTTTCATTTGAAAAGATTACCCAAACTTCTAACATTAGAATTTCTAATGGGCTTTTGAGACATTCTGTAGTGAAGCAAGGGAGTTCTCGAATCCCCAGGATTGCCTCAGTAGATCTCACTGCTTAGAAGACAGGAGTGATTGACCTTGCAGTAAGTACATTATCAAATGTAACAGGAATCAGAAATCACTGTGGAAACTGTGGGGCACTTTCCATTCATGTGCAGAAATATAATGTAAAAGAATACTGAAGGATGTGTTTAGAATATTCTTTTTTGAAAGATTTATTTATAAGCGAGAATAACAGAAAGGGAGAGACAGAAAGAGAGTTTCCATCTGCTGGTTCACTCCTCCAATGGCCTCAATGGCCAAGACAGGGCCAAGCTGAAGCCAGGTGCCGGGAGTTTATTCTAGACCTCTCATGTAGGGTGGGGGGTCTAGAGAATTGGGCCATCAACTGCTACCTTCTGAGGCACATTAGAAGGGATGTGAATTAGAAATGGAGCAGTCGGGGCTTGAACTAGTGCCTACATGGAATACTGGTGCCTCAGAGGGCAGCTTAACCTGCTGTGCTACAACCCCAGCTGCAGGAATTTTATTCTTAATACTTCTGTTATCCTCTATAGCAATCCTCTTGACAGGCTTCTGTTTACTAGTGTTACAGTAACTTTCTGCCCATCTCATTTCGTTATTAGCTATCTTCTGCCTTACCTTAAGAGTTAGTGACAGGTGCCTTCCAGCTCCCTGGGAGGTCTACCTTGAGAAGGAAAGACTGAAAGACAAGACCACTGGATGGATGGAAGCAAGAAGAAGAGAGAGGGTGAGGAAGATCAGAGGAGGAGGAGAGGGCAAGAAGGTACGGTCAGAAGAGGGAAAGGGAAGGGGAGAGGAAATATGAAAGGTGAGGGGAGTGGAGGGGAATTAAGTACAGAGGAGGAACAGGGAGAGAGAGGTGTAGGAAAGATAAAGGAGGAGAGATGGGATGGGGGAGGGTGAGAGAGAAGTCAGGGGGAGGGGAGGAGGAGATGGGGATGAAGAGGAGGAGATGGGAATGAAGACAGGAGGGAGAAACAGAGAAAGAAAGAAGCGAAAGACTGACTGTTTTGTCTGAATAATAGTCTGTTGGGCAGTGCCAGCTTTATCACTACAAAATCTCTCAAGTCTACCAAATCTCCCACTGCAAACAAATGGCAAATGGTCCACAGGCTAAATAAGTTCCTTTTGAGCACAGGAGTCTGAGAGCTGGGGGTTGGATTTATTTCCCTCCTGGAGGCAATTTTCACACATGCTGCTTAAATGATTGCTTACTGAAGCTGTTTATTTAATTATTTAGCTTGGTGACTGTGGGCCAGATGTTACATGGCAGGGCTGGCAATCCAGCAGCATGCTGGAACGGCGTGCTTGTGGATTCTGGGCAGCTAGGCACAGCAGTTCCTGCAATCCCCGAGTTCTGAGGCGGGGAGATGGGCTGATGGGCCCTGGCACCCACTGGTTGTGACTCCTCAGACATCCACAGGTGGCACTCTTGCGGGTTGGGGAGAAACCAGGCTCTATCCTGACCAGAGAACACTCTGGGCACCTGTTTCCCCATGGTTCGTTTATTGTGGAGCTCCAGATATTTGAGTTGCAGTAATGTTTCAGGGCATTAAAGCAACTGGCTTCTCAAAATGTCCATCTGTACACTTCTCTCTTAGCCCTGAAGCCAAACAAATGGCATTTTCTCCCTGTAAGTTTAACAATGCCATACACACACACACACACACACACACACACCCTTTTTCTTTCAATATGGGAGTACATAATGCCTCCCTGTTTACAGCTGCTTAGAACCTACAGAGGTGCCATTGATCCTACCACTCAACACATAACCAGGACCACCAGGCCAGTGTTTATCACGATAATCATTATTGTGAATAATCAATCCTTGTTTACATGTCAGAAACACCAGCTTAAAACCCAGCGAGTGCTTTCCTAAGCTGTAGGAAGTAGATCTGCTGTATCAGAAGGAACCACAGGAACATATTCAATGGAGACAGATACATCCTCATCTTACAATTGAGTTCGTTTTGGAGTTAGCACGCATGGCAACAATGGCATGGATTCAAACGATCATGAAACCGTTCTTTTCCAACCCACAGAGCATGGTGCACAGCTTTGTGTGTTCTGTGCTCTCCCTCTCTCAATTAATCCAGCACAGCCAGTTTTTCCACAAGCATCAGAGCAAGGAACTTTTCTTTGGTTCACCAATAGATGAAGCAGCTGGCTTGTATCTCAGGGCCACGTTCTATGACAACTTTTTAAATTGCCTCTAAGCAATAGATTTTATAAGTTAAATGTGGGTAAAGAGAGGACAACAGTGTAGTAGATTCAAGGAATACATGCTATAGTCTTATTCTTGATACTGTAACTCTGTTAGCAAACATTCTTTTCATGTACACAAGATGTTTCATTTGACTTTAAATTCTACATTTTCTGAGCACCCTGCAGGGACTAAGCATTGCTAAATTCTCTTTTCTTACCTGTTATCAGCTGAGTTAGCACTTTAGTCTGGTCATTGAGAATGTTCACTGTAACATTTCTGGCAGATTTGAAGTACAGGGCATTACCCTATAATGAGAATAAGAGAAACGCATGAAAATAACTGATTTCTAAACAACAACAAAAAAATGTGACCCTAACTTTCCAAATGGCTGAACTGGTTTTAGCCATATTCTAATTGATGCTTTTATTTGAAAATTTGATTTCCATATACATGATAATTATCATTCATCCAAAATAGATGTCCTTCAAACAGATACTCAGAAAGGCAAATGTGGACAATACAGATTTCTGTAGAACACACACAGATACATTATTACAGCTGAATCAGAGACAACTGGGACACAAATCCAGGTAGAGTTGATTGCAGATCTGAGTTAGCCTTTATGCAGACAATGATTTCAAATGACTTACACTCTAACTACACCCTTTTTGGCTTACAATTTCTCCAAAGAAATAATGTAGAGTCCTTAAAGGAGAGTAGGAAGCCCTTGTGTGATCAAGGTCTGCCCCTCAGGCATGTCCACCAGCTCAGAGAAATCTTTGGGGTGATGTTTGTAACTGCATATGCACAGCTCAGGAGATCCAGTTTAACCAAGTAAACTATGCCTCCCCATTCATCCTTTAGTTGTCTCCCGATTTTTTTTCCTCCAGGCACTCCAGGCTTTCATCTACTTCCCCTACAATCCTTGTTCCTCTCTTACAGCGTGGTAGATGTTGCTGGGTATGACTTAGAACAGGGTGTGGCATATTTTTCTGTGAAGGGCCTGATACTTTCTTGGGGCTTTGTTGGATACTGGTCTCTGTTGTAACTATTCAACTATGTTTTGGTGCAAAAGAGTCCTAGATGGCACGTTGACAAAGGAATATGGCTGCATTCCACCAATCTTTATTCAAGGACTCTGACATTTGAATTTCTTATAATTTACATTTCATATTTAACATTTAATATAATTTCTATATGTCATGACATATTCTTCTTCCCCTGCTTTGTTCCCTTCCCTTCGATCATTTAAAAATGTGAAGACTATTCTCAGTTTGCTGGTGATACAAGAACAGGCAGAGGACCCAATGCTGCCAAGAGGCCACTGTTTGCCAACCCCTGGCTTAGAAGTTCTCCTTTTCTTGGATGGCACTAAAGGCTTAAATGAAGGATGAATATGTGTCAGCATCATCTAGTTGTTTAGAACATAGTAGTTTGGTAGTCATTCTGTCTTTCTGAGCCTTTTCACTATATGACATATATCAACCTGAAAATTTAATAAGACATCTGTGGGGAGCAGCTCGGACTAGACTAAGTTACTGGAATTAAGACTTATTCTATGCACCTGCTCTCCCACAATATGGCGCTGGGAGAGAAGAAAACAGCTTCTACACAGCTGCCTCCAGTTCAACCAATAAACTGTAGGACTTGCTCCTGATTGGAGGAGAGCAGCGTACTCGGCGTGTGGGCAGCCGAGTTGGGATTGGCAGAGGAGGACTATAAAGGAGGAGAGAGACGGCATGCACCAGGAACATCTAAGGGGAACATCTAAGGGGAACACCTGTGCAGCCCCCGAGAGAGCCGGCCGGCGGTGTGCCGCTCCCCCGCGGAAGTGGGGAAAGTGGCAGGGGGAACCGCCCTTCCACGGAGGTGGAAGGGACAGTAGCCAACCCGGGAAGAACCAGCAGCAAACCCGGGGAGGGCCGAGCAGACGAAAGAACAGCGCAGGGTCCTGTGTCGTTCCCCCACAAAGAGGGGGAGCGACGGACATCTACATACTGAGTCTCTAACACAAGGAAACCATTGAACTACAGGTTGTGAAGTAGTGAGGACAACAAAGATAGGCAAAAGTTGGCCTTTACTTTCAAGTTTTACTTTCTAATGGGGACAACAGATGGGTACAAGTATTCTAAGCAGAGAACAATAGGAGGGATGGGGAAGCCACAAAGTGGATAGGGGACTTTCCTGAAGAGTGTAGTTATTGTGGTTTGAGTGTGTGTGGAGTGGCAAGCAAAGAAACTTCCTGGAGAGGTTAACATCTGAGCTGAAACTCTAAAAGAATACAGATGTGATTTTGGCAATACAAAATGGAAAAAGAAGCTCATAGAGATAAAGTTGTGGGTGATTGTTCAATGTCTTTTTCCTTCTAAAACTGGTATAGCCATGGACTGGATTATCTAGCCCAGCTGAATATCTGCATGCCAGTAGAGTATGAGGGCTATGTGCTGCCAGACAACCAATGTTAAGGCCAAAGGAATAGTCCACAAGAGGAGGAGAGTGACAGTGTGGGGTCATGGTATTTCCCACTTATGATTAATGGCTGAAATGGACCATCAAAACACATGACCCAACCAGGCTCTGAATAACCAACTCACAATGGGTGAAATCTGTTGACCTAGTTTTGAAGAAACACTGATTCAGTGTAGCCCCTGTATTAGTTTAACACTAGAATTTCCTCTGGTGGGGACAAGTATTATAGCACAGCAGGGTAGATCATCCTGCCATTCAGAGTGCCTGCAGTTGAGTTCCACTTCCACTTCCAACTGTTTCCTGCTAATATGCTTGGGAGGCAGCAGGTGATGGCTCAAATTGCTTGGCTTCCTGTTCCCAGGTGGATGACTCGGGATCTTGACTCCTGGCTTCACCGTGGCCCAGGTCATTGCTGTGGTAATATTTGAAAAGTGAACCAGTGGATAGCTTTCCTTCTGTCTCTCATCTCTCTGTTTACTCTGCATTTCAAGTAAAAAAAAAATACCCCTGATTGAAAAAAAAATTAATGGAGCCATAGAAGACGTACTTTCAATCTAATACTGTCACAGTCTTTTTCTGTCAGGAAACAGATATTATCCTAAAATTGTTTCCTAGCCATTGTTTTTGACAGTGCTTATTAGTTCCATTTAAAACTTCAAAAGCATTCTAGTAAAGTGAGATCTCAGAACCTCGAACCTGTACAGGAAGTTATATTTCCATAAATTAAGGCACTAACATTTGAATTCTTAGGAGGATACTAAACAAAGTTTAAGGAAAAAATGCAAAGTTGATTTTGGTACAAAATATTTTTGAAACACACACACAGGTTTTTCACAACATGTGTTTTCCATCAGCTTTCTGATGATGCCTTATATATGCAGCTATCCAGCACTCCAGAGAAAAGAGTGACCAAGCATCAGGAGACTGGAGAAATTCTACTAACACTGACTATTATATGACCTTCAGCAAACCATCCAACTCTTCTTTTTTAAAGATTTATTTATTTGAAAGGCAGAGTTAGAGGGAGGGAGGGAGAGACAGAGAGATAGATCTTCCATCTACTGGTTCACTCCCCAAATGGCCGCAATAGCCCGGGCTGGGCCAGACCAAAGCCAGGAGTCAGGAGCTTCTTCTAGGTCTCCTACATGGGTGCAGGGGCCCAAGGACTTGTGCTATCATCCACTGCTTTCCCAGGCACATTGCAGCGAGGTGCACTGGAAGTGGAGTAGTCGGGGTTCAAACTGGCACCTATAAGGGATGCCAGCATCACAGGCAGCAGTTTAACCTTTTGAGCCACAATGCCAACCTCACCATCTTCTTCATTTTATTTTTCTCTCGTTCTCCAGCATCAATATCAACATCAACATCATTATCAAGTGCATTGCTGACATAATGAAGCACTCCTGAGTGCCAGATATGTACTAGGAGTCTGGAGCCAGACTTCTTTGTTTTCTTGCCAGCTCCAACACTTGCAAGTTGTATGACGCTGGGCACATTTCTAAATGATCCCAAGCCTCAGTTTCGCTTTATGGATAATGAGTAAAATACTAATTATTAATTTTGGAAACGAATGTATTATTACAATCTTTAAACTCTACATGCAATTATTAAATTAACATAATCCATTGCTAGATATATATTAAATCCTCAGTAATTATTCAGGTAAGGAGAGGAAGGGGTAAGGGACAGGAATGAGAAAGACAAGTGGAGGTGAGGAGGGAGAGATGAGAGATGAGGAAGCTGAGGTAAGAGCAAAAACAGAGATGGAAAGGACAAAGATGGACGCAGGAAGGAGGGAAGGCGAGATCTAGAGAAATAAGGAAGACAGCTTTACTTTCACCACTTAAGCTTGCTGACCCATCTGTAGATTGTCAGGGGCTCTTTCCATTTCCAAAATGCTCTGTTTTTCTATTTCAAAGGGTCTCCCTGTATCTGTTTGGCTTACCATGGTGTTTTGAATCTTAATTTCAAATGCTCTTTGCTGTCCTTAATATTATTCAAATAATTCTATCATGGAAAAATCACAGCTTTGCTCAAGATTTATAGCAAGAGGTATAAGAAAATCCATTCCTTTTTATTACTATGTCAAAATATTATGGTTCAGTATTAATTGCTCTCATATGCTAAGATCCTGGGAAAGGGAATTTTTGCTGCACCAGGGTTTAGACAAAGAGCCTCATTCTCCCCCAAGCCATGTTGCTGTAATCCTCTCGCACATCCGAGGTAAGAGAAACATTGCCAGGAGAAAAGCACATGGCAGCTGAGTCCTGGGAATTTTATTTGGCTCTCTCACTCTGCCGGCGAAGACTAAACCAGGACAATACCAGCCAGCCACACAAAACATGCCTGGGGTCTCTCTGCAAAGAGGGCAAACCCTCCCTCCTCCTGAGGGGAAGCTAAGTGCTGGCCTCCTGCCACTTCTCGTTCCCCTGCACTGCCTTCCACTCATCGCTGTGACTTTCAGTAGCCTCCATCCAAGATGAGAGGTTTGCAATTAGCTACCTGGAGGCTCGGCTGTGCTGGTAGAGAGGCGTCTGGCAGGCCCTCACCTGGTCATGAAGATGCATTCGCAGTCTAGATCAAGACACCTTCAATCAATCAGGCTGTAATTCCTCTGGTACAGGAGGAGGCCACGTGGGACACACAGCCAGGAAGAAATGTACCATTCCTCCCACATGGAGAGACAAGGACTGTCCAATCAGCACTTGCCCAAATAACTATAAACGGTATAGATTTTCATGCAAAATTCACAGAAAACAAACATTTGGATGGAAACAAATCCCTGCCACATCTTTACTTCTTCAAATCAAAATCAACAGACCCAAACCCAACCCTG